TAGGTGTCGCTGATTGTATTGGAATTCGCTTTATATGTTGAACATGATTGCTTACATTTAAGTTTGATAACACGACGCCAACAGCTTTGTATATTAACATGTTTAAACTACCCTTTTTCAATATTTTTAACATCAATAAAAACGTTTACTATATAGCTAAGTGTTGGCTAGTGTAATTACTTCAAACACACTTATTTGAAAGCTATTCAAGTACTCTTCATGTTTGTAATGTAAATGTTTAACAATTCGACAATAAATATATGAAAAGAGATACATCTCCGTAGATATGTGACTTTTTTCGTATTATTTAAAGAGTAGCTTGCAAATTTGCAGATTTCTCTGTAGCTTTTCTATGGCTAAGTAAATGTTTTCACCGTTTCCAAATCTCTTCGTTTCTTTATTACCAAATAACACTTCGGACCAATGCTTGCCTAATTGTGTTTGTTTCCTTGTGTTTTGGAGCCAGATTTGTATGCCAGATACATACGCTCAGTTTCAACTGACAATTTTAACTGAAGAATCGAACTAGTTAGTTAAAACTGTGTGTAGGCGCAATGTTAACTATCAGTTGAACTGTTCAGTTGCTTACACACACAGTTTCTATTCATATGTTCGATTTAAATTGTAAGTTAGAACTGAGCTTATGTGGGCTTTAAGAACATTTTTATAATAATACTGAGATATACAGATCTTGCTCTAAATATGCATATTTATATGTTATTGTACTATGTATACCAGACCAACAAGGTAGATATGCTGCACGATTTCTCTTCCTTGAGCACGTTGTATAACAATATTGTTGTTACACTTTCACACTTTAACTACACCAGTGAGAAAATCACATATCTGACATTTTTGTACACCTCATATCATTTTTATTAACGACTAGCTTGGGCTCCAGAGTTCGATCGCGCCGAAAAAAAAGCTGTAACCCAAATTAATCCAACTCAGTGAAGTAAATTTTGAATATAAACATATAAATACAAATAATATGGATATCATTAGTCCTATCAAGTTGTCTATCTTCATTAAATGACTACTAAAGCCTGCCTCAAATGCTAATAAGCAATTAACATTGCCCCTGTCAGATATTCACAGCATTAATGAATTTATGATTGACAGTCGGTTTAATATCGAAACCTTTAACGATATTAAATTATTGCGAGCTATCCAATCTTAAGTAATTAAGATTGCGCCAACTATGATTCTGGAATCAAATTATTTTTTTTAATAAATGTTAAAATTTAATTATCCACATTAAATGGTAATCGATTATCATCTCCCTTGCCTTATCCTACTCTTGTAGGTTATTCGTTATTCGTTATTCGATTATTAGTCGATGATTTTAAATTAAGAATTAGCTCATGGCAATGTCGCAATTGAATTGGATAAAATGTCCAAACTATTAAACTATATCAAACGGTCCAATTTTAATATATTCAATTTGCATAAATACACAAACCTTTGAAATAAAACAAGTCATGAAATCGATTCAAATCAAATCAATACTATATACTCCGATCCTGTAATCAACGCATTGACAACACGAATTTGTGCTTTTTGAATTTCTGTATCAGCTTTAATTTTTTTATGGTTCCTTTTTATTTGACATTACATTTATAAAAGCAGGAATACAGTTCGATATTCTTTTTTACAAACCTTTATTACATTTCATTCGAAATATCCTAGCAATGAACCTTTTTGTAATTTGCAATATTTCTTTTTACTACAACGAGGACAGGCACTTTTCATAAATTGCAAAATGTCGAACCCCAACTCTATATTTCATCGTTCTATTAAATCCTTGTCACAAGCTTGGATTCCTGTCTAGGAACATAACGTAGTTTTCACTCCATTTTATTTTTAGAGTTAAAATTCATAGTAGACACTACAAACGTAGTCACTGCAATACTTTATTTCAAATTCTCGTAAACTATGATCCAGAATTACGAGATCAAAACTTAAAAAGCAATAAAATTTACTCTAAAACACTTTGTACATTAAAATACGATTAAAGAATTAAATCACAAATTCAAAATTGAACTCAACTACATGTACTTCAGCATGTCAATCTTCTTGGTCGCTACATGAGCTATGTGTGCTTGGTGTATAGGAACGATTATTTCTTCTTGCAGGCTCGGAGCGCTAGCACCAGTAGCTTTAGGAGTGTAAGTCAGGTAATGACAGTACGTAAAGACGCTTTCTTCACTCCTGATCATTACCATCGTCTATTTGATTTCGTTGGTTGTTTTGTCGGCAATGATTTTTGAATGCTACACGAATATTAAATTGATATTTATCATAGAAAAACTTACCTTGACGCAATTACGAAAGATTTACAAACTCTAGGAATTAAAAATGCTTCAAGTTGGCACATAAATCATTGCCAAAGGGTTTTGTCATGAGTCATGCGCGGTTTTGATCGTAGTTTGTTTTAGATGTAGTAGCACATCATCAGCCGTAGAATATCCAACAAGGTGAAGGTAAGAAATGACGTTGGAGATATCATACTAATTAATATATCACCAATGATGACGTGTTTTAGAAATGATGATGGGGACATAAACCAGAAAGTGTTAAGATTGAATGTGGATGGCTACAAAGGAAGAGGAAGACCGAAGAAAGTATGGATGGATTGTGTGAAAGAGGATATGCTTAAGAAAGGAGTGGATTCAGATATGACGGCTGATAGAGATGTATGGAAGAGCAGCACATACTGTGCCGACCCTCCATAAGGGATAAGGGCAAGTGGATGATGATGATGATGATGACGTGTTTTAGAAGAAACGAATGAAAAGAAGTTTGTCTTCTTCGTCTTTTTCTCGAATATATTTTCGTTGTAATGGATATGAACAAATGGTATAAAATCAAATACGCCTTAGGCCACATTTTTTTTTAAAAAAAGTGTACCAATTAATTATACTTTGTTTAAAAACTAAAATAATGTGCTAAAGAGCATTCTACTCAAACAATCGCCTGTAAAAATATTAATTCAAGAAAATTATGTTATATTTCGTCTGCTTTAACTAAGTGATTAATTTGTTTTTAATATGTGGTTGGAAAAAAGAATCTTTGCCCAAATTTTGTTATCACCTTTACCTCTGATCATCTTTTATATTTAAGCGGTCGTGAAGCTTAATTTTTATTCTTCTTATACATAAAACATTTAGTTGCTGCATGAGATTTATCGAATTAAATAGTTTAGTGTTTAATCAATATGTTTTCTTAATTTTTTTAATCTTAAAACAGCGTGGACTTCTTTTTTAACCTAAAAAAAATATTTTCAACTTGAGATTATTAAAAACAAAGCAAGTAAGAAGTCTTGAGTGACAGATGCCCTTAATCATCAGAAGTTATCTTCAATATTAGAATCATCGGCGTACGGACATAAGAAATTATGCCAATGGACCTAATAGACTTGAATAACGTAAGACCGCGGTTAGACAAATTAGGCTACTTGACGCTAATTTTGCATAAAAGCTACATAAACAGAACTATGTAAAACAAATAAGAGGAAAACGTAAGGTAAATAAATCAAGAGGCTGTAATCCCGTTTGTAGATCTTTCAAACAAAAGACGTGAGGGAATTTAGTCAAACGTCCTGTGACCCACAAACCTAGTTTTATGCTTGAGGTAAGGAATGAAACGTCTCCACTGCAGTCTACTATACAAATAATTTTAAACCTTTACAGTCTAATACAAAGAAAGATCACTTTATTCATAGAGAATCTTGATAATTTTGTGCTACTATTCCTTGACTATTTACCATGAAACTCATTTCGTAAATTGGAACTTAAGTAAGTAAAAAGAACAAACTAAACCCATAAATGAACCTTTCCTCGGAATAAAATTCAAACTCGTTAACTATTCACTTACCCTTCGCAGCCCTTTTCTTATCTTCAAGAATCTACCTTCGAGCTTATTTGGCATTTACTATTCGATGTTTCATAAAATTTCTCTTTTTAACTTCAATTGCTTTATCTTGACCTTTTTTGGGTACGCTTTAAGAAGTGTGTTTTGTTTGAAATCTAGTACGCTGTTTAAGATTTTAGACTTTGAATTTTAGTTTAGTATAATTTAGGGAAACGGTTTTTTGTCACCTATTTGTTACTATGCTTTGTTATACTCTTAATCATTTTGATTCACACCACCGATAATAAGAGATAAGCAGACGACAAACCATCAGGTTTCATCCTCACCAGGATAGCTTGTATTCCTCAACGCTGCAATTCTCCTGGAAAATCCTGCCTCGGACAGCCGCTTTATGGACACTATCTCGGTGGTATTACTAAACCAGCATGCCTTAGGTTCCTTTGAGAAGCGAGCTTATCTCTATTTCAAAGGCAGCATCTGCAGTCCCTGTGGTAAAGAGGATAGCGAGGCGTCGATGACTCAGTATTCCCGCACCTCGTTTTCCTTTTATTATTAACTATAACTTAAATAAATGCATGATACCTTATACTTTAAAATTTTCTAACGTTGAATATAAATGTGGCAACGTAAGTCTGTGATATATTAAACAAAAGCGACCACATAACCTCAAAGAACGTTCGCACGTAAATATTTTCCTATAATCCTCAAGCCCGTAAATTTCCGTTGCCCTAGTTCCATACGTAAACACCGACTTTAAGGATAGTGTGAAATAGAAAATACGACGTTGTGAATATCCTAGTAGAAGTCCTGAAATGTTTCTCTTCTCACGTGCAGAAAAGAGACGGAAGGTTTTATTATACGGTTAACCGAGAAATAATTTTTGAGGGTTAGGGCCTGTCCCAACAAATTGTAAATTGTCTGGTAACAATCCAACGTGTAAAATATGTGATGGAAATATCGAAATTTGTTTCCTTATCTGACAGGGACGTTTTTAAGCTATCTGAGCCTCTATCAGCCAGTGGTGGGACCGGCCCTTTGTTAAAACCACACTTTATAGCTTTATGTATGATTATTCTAAGAAAGATCGTATAAGGATAAAAAATAGTCAATATTATTTAATAGAGTTGTTTATTGCATGACTAGAAACTTTTTTATAAATATTTTTTTCATATTTCTCTGTATTCATTTGTTTCTTAATCGCCAGTCATCATTTCCATGAACTCTGAAAGAAAACTTCTTATTAATATACAAACATTGATATGAATTATTTGCATTATCGTCGTCATTGTCCTTTCCTTTATATTAAAAAGAAATGAGACTTGACATGCGGTTAGCAGTAGTGTAATATAGTGTAGCTGTTACTCGAGACTTCGTCCCCGTGGAATTAAGAAATAATAAAAAATATAGCCTATGTTACTCACAAATAAAGTAACTTTCTAATGATGAAAGAATATTTAAAATCTGCCTAGTAGTTTTGGAGTAATTGCGATACATACAAAAATGCAAATCTTTCCTCTTTATAATATTAGTATAGATTATTCCGATATAAAAATTGTAGTAAATACCGTCAAAGTCAACAGTTCCAGAAGCATCGGTGTCAATTTCTGCGATCATTTCGTTGAGCTGGTCCGGAGTCAGCTGGTCATCTAGTGCGGCTAGGATCTCGCGCAAACTCGATGTCGGGATGTATCCGTTACCTGGAAAAACATTTTATGGAGTGGATTAGGAAATGTGTACTATTTATACCAAAAAAGTGCGCTGACAACTTCAGATATAATAAAAAAAAAATTAAACCACATTATAAAGTATATTAAAATGAATAACCAGTCACTGTGTAAATATGAAAATAAACAAGCTAAAATTGATTAAATTTAGATTCAATTTCGTATTTCATCCGAAATACGTATGGCAAATATCGACAATGGCACATCACTACGCTCAAGCAGAGAGTAAAGTCGGCCAGTGCGAGTTTAATTGTTTGTAGTGACGCGCTGTGACGGACAGCTTCACATTAATTCTGCCAACGAACGTGAAGGAATCGATTCTACCGTCCACCGTGTATGATTAATTTACCCCTACCATTCGCTTCGTAATTCAGAATTAATATAATTTTCTTGATTCTTGACATAAAAGTTCACGAAGTTTGATCAGAAATGTATGATATAAAATTATTCATGTCTGTAAGATTTAAAATAATCACTAGAACTAAATTATAAGGCGCACAAAGAGGGACTTTTATATTTTTTTCTAAAAGAGGATCTTTTCATTTTGTCTACGTGGAATAAAAAAAAAGTAAAAAAAAATTGCTCAATGATAACGTTGCTTTTTAACGGTCAAAGAATTGTTGAATTTGATTTATTTTAATACATACAAAAATAGAATTTTTTCCTCTTTATCACTAGTAGAGAAAATACGTAATATGCGTATGTAAAAGTCTGTGCAAAAACATTAGTGAATTTATATAGCTGAATCATTTTTGCTACATTTTCAAAAGATTTAATTCTTTTATTGTTTATATTCGAGATCAATTTATTGTTCGAATGTAACAAATGGTAGGGGATGGCTGGCGTGCGGCCAGCGAATCGATCGTTCGCATTCGTTGCGAACAATTAATGTCGAGAATCCATTGTTTTCTACACTCGTAAAATTGGAAACTGTGTTGTTATATTGGTTTTAGCGAAAACAATGAAAAATGTAATAAAGCTGATTCTATAGAATTCACAGCACTATTCAATAATTATTTTTTGCTATAAAATATATCATTTTTAAATATATTAAAACAACTTTTAATAAACATTAAAACATGAAAGCAATATTAAATCCAACATTAAGGCGACTGCATATTTAACTATTCTATTTTACAGTGAACTTTTCTTAAAAAAGTGATGTAAAAGTGTTCAATCTAAACAACCAAGATAAACTCCGAACAAAACTTGGAATAGAACATCCGTTGTTATCCCAAGCTACTTGACACCTACAATACGTTTTGCGATGTGTTGTTTGTAAAACAAACGACTTGTCGACGAGTCAACAGCCCTGAAGCAAGTTACGTCTTATCTAAATGGCACATAAAACACGCCGCTGTGCGGGAATCTGCAAAATCATCTGTTAAGGTACGTTTTCACTGAAAAAGTACATCCACTTAAAATAATACTGAACAACAGATTTTAGTACAGAATTATTTAGTGCATTTGAAAGCAAAGGGTTACCTAATTAAGTTTTGTTACCTTCTTTATCGTAAAGCCTGAAAGCTTCTTTAAGTTCTTTCTGCAGAGCTTCATCATCCTCATCCAAGAAGTGGGTTGCAACTCGTACAAAAGAGTCGAAGTTGAGCTTTCCTGAGCCTAGAAAAAGATATGAATAAACTTAGTTAAAATAACTAAAGCTTACGCTTAAGCCTCTACATCAAAAACTATGATACAGAATTAATCAAAAAAAAAATGTGTTTATGAAGTGGTAGAACCCGCTTTAACATTTTCACACGAATAGGCCGACTCGTCCAATGCACAAATTGTTAATTATTTTTACAAAGCATGAACGATAGTAAACCTAAATTCGACTAAACTTTTAATCCAGTAAATGTCTATTTTTGGTTGCACGATTTCTAAGAACTCTACGTTCACATTCTACAGAACTTTGTATCTTGGCACCGCGTTACTTTCGCCAATAAAATGATCGCTTAATGCATGTCCTACTTCCTTGGAGATATCGTAAAAATGTGTACCGGGCTAGCTTCCAAGAATATTTCGTGTTAGAAATACGAATCAAATACAACCATATGTAAAGGGAATATGGGTCAAAATTGTTTGAACTATCAATAAGTATTTACTAAAACATACGACAAATTGTTTTAGTTAGCCAATTCCTTAAGGCACCTTGTTAATAAACATTTTTATGAGAAAGTAGGAAAGTCATGCGATATTTCACTTTATGAAATTAATTTATCATATGAGGACCTTGTTTACGTCCACGTGGAATAAAAAAAACAAAAGTAAATAGCCTGTGTGTTCATCCAGATTTGCTCTACATCTGCTAAATTTCATCGAGATCCATTGAGCCGTTTAGGTCGTAAACTTTAACAAACATCAAAATTTTCGCTCATAATATTAGTAAGATTTGTATTATTTGTTTCTTTATTATTAACAGGATATTTCTAGCGGTTTTTTTTTGTTAAAATTTATGCAAAGAACCAAATAGCTTAACTTCAATTATTTCAATACTAAATTCAAAAAAATTCTACATTTCTTTGTGGTCCCTAGTCGAAAACAATGTAGATTTACTACATTTTTCTCATTTCTTATTTGGCATTTTTTAAATAAATGTATAGCCCGAAATTCATTTGTAGAGATAAACTAGAACTTAAGACCTCAATCAAGGAGCTTCCTTTTAACTAAGTTAATGCAAAGTAATTTGACTCTAATGTCGTCCAAATTATAGACCCGATGACCTCTACGCGGACAGTAGGACACACCTCAAGGTCATCTGAATCTAAACCGCTTAAGAAATCCTTCTTAAGCAAGAATCCCACTCATTTATTAACCTTAAAGGATTTGGATAGATTGTGAGCTTTTCTATCCAATCTTAAGGTTGCCCTTTATGGTTTTCGTCTAGTTGTACAAAGTAGTAGGTATTTAATACAGTAGAAAAATACTATTTTAGAAACAACCCATTTGAAAACCGATGCCACAGATTGATTATGCTGGAGAATTCGTATGTTGAATAACTTATCTTATGGTCAGTTTCCATTGACACTAAACACAACTAATTATTTATAACAAATCTGATACTCTCTATAGAAACCAACAGTCAATTATCAAAACATCTCTTTGGATTTAAGGTGCGTAATGATCGATGTTACCTGGTGTAAATGTTACAAGGCGAGCTTTCATTCAATCAGTAGTGTTACGGGGAATCCAGCGAGCAACGTTCGACGCGAATGTCACACCTCGAACATTATCCCACGTTACGTTCGTTCAACACGCACCGGTAGAAAGAGCGCACACCTTTGACTAAACTCTCGCACAAATGTGATTGTCGATTGTTTCATAGTCCATTCAACTGTTTAGTTGTACAAATAACTATCGAGTAGTGTGCGCATCTTCATATAAGCTTATAGGCATTACAGCGCGACTAAACAGTTGTGCGATAGTTTAGTCAATGACGTATTCATAATATTGTTAGCTAATTTTCATTAAATCCGCTACGTAGTTGACATCCATTCAAACAGCTCTGTCTCTTGAACTAGATTACAAATGTAAGGTTAATTAAGTGAAAACACATTTGTAGCGATGTCAATTTCTCATTCACAGCAATATGAGGCAGACTAAGAGTTAATATCGCTTGTACTGTTTAATGATTCTGTTCTGATGAGATTTTAATTACTCCTGGATGTAATCAAATTCATCTTAACATTAAACAGTTTAGATGTTTAAAGTATTCATTTGTTTTATTAAACCTAGTGCTGTATTACGTAATCTATACTATTATAACAAAGCGTAAACACACACTTCTTTGTTGCCTAAGATGTCAGCAATTACAACATATTTTTGAATAATTCTTTTTTTAAGAAAAAGCCCTACACTTAAGTCATGCTTTAGGCTATATATTTTTACGCCATTAAACTTAGTGGGTAAATAATTTGGATAAAAATGTGGGAAATAGACCATAAGTTGCTGCCAACATCAAGAAATAAAAGGAAGATTGCTAAGATTTGTCATGTCATGTCATGTCATTTTGACATTTGCTATTGATAATTTGACAAATGTAAACAATAAAATAAAGTTTTTATAATTTCAAACGGATGAATCCGCACGCGAACAGCTAGTAGGAAGATATATCAGTTTCTATAATTTAACTTTTTTTGTTAATTATTTGTTAAGCTAGCGCTTGACCACGATCCCACCAGAAGGATGTGACGATGCAGTCCAAAGATGGTACGCGCTTGCTTTATAGGCAGCTGTTCACTCGCCTTTTGAAGGCCACGTTATTACCTCTGTACTAAATTAACTAAGACACAGACACAGCCCCGAATTAAACAATCTAAAAGCCGAATACTGAAACGACAAAATATCCCGGTCAGATAAATTGATGTCTTTCTTGTGAATTTTGATAAATTTTAAATGTGAAAAACTTTGCAAATCAATTTTGTTCACTGCAAACGTCGGCTAAAGCATGTCAGAAGCAGTTAGCGTTACAAGTTTTGAAAATAATTTGCATGCTTTGAGAACTAATACCAGTCGGAAACCAACATTATCCGAACTTCAGCAAAGTTGGAGATGCTCTGAAGACTTCCAACACAAGCTCGATTAGTTTGTCTGTTCGTGAGAAATTATTACAGATAGAGTATCTATAATATTCTGTAACTATTGTTTATTTTAAAATTATTACCGGTTATTAAAATATGAAAGGTTGTTCGTTGTTAATATAAAGAGGAAAACTTTGTTTTTTTGATTGTAATGAATAGGCTACTGAACTACTGGACTGATTTTAAAAATTCTTTCACCGTTAGAAATGTGATTTATCTGTGAATAACATAGGCTATATTTTTTCATTTCTTTACTATTATTTTTAAATTTCACGCGGACGGAATCGCGGACAAAAGCTAGTCGAAGATAAGGATAGGCTTTCAAGGACTTATCTATACTAATGTTATAAAGAGGAAAGATTTGTATTTTCGTATGTATTGAAATAACTCACAAACAACTGGACCGATCTTAAAAATTCTTACACCATTAAAAAGCTACGTCATCACTAAGTAACATAGGCTACCTTTTTTATTATTTTTTTTAATTTCACGTGGACCGGCAAGCAACAGCTAGTATATCTATAAAATCATTAGTAAATGTAGAATAAAAATTACTTCAAATATTAACGCGTCATATCTCTGTGTATTAACTTAAAGAGAATATTAGTTCATTAGCTGTTGAGAAATTGAATTCCTAAAATGTACACGACGCAAAGTAATTAAACTTGGAAACGTTTATCTTACGACGCAGAGTTTCACTTTATAAGGTTTATGACAGGGTTATATTTTGTCATCGTTTACTAGAGGCATAATATAATTTTATGACGTCATAGTCTGTATCCAGATGTTATTTATCTGGTTTAAGATTCGATTACGAGCAAAAAGTTGCAATATTTTTGTTTGATTAGGAAGCAGTTATCAATTGTCCGATTGTGTTAAGATTAAATGTGGATGGCTACAAAGGTAGAGGAGGACCGAAGAAAGTATGGATGGATTGTGTGAAAGAGGATTTGCATAAGAGAGTGGTTTCAGATATGACGGATGATAGAGATGTATGGAAGAGCAGCACTTACTGTGCCGACCCTACGTAGGAATAAGGGCAAGTTGATGATAGGAAGCAGTTATCAATTGTTGGATTCTGTGTACATTCTAACGGCTACTTTAACCCTTACTTAGTATAGATTTATTGTACTAAATCTACTGACTCTTTTAAAAATAGTTAAAGACTCTTCCATCACTTCTTGTTATCAACAAACTAATGAAAGCTAATGAAACAATAAAATCAAGTATCTGGCCGAAAAAAAATATGGTTCATATTTTTTTTAATCTAAGTAGTAAAAATGTAATTATTCATAAAAGCATTAAGACATAATGACAAAGTTTAAGTCGTTAAAGTTTAATGACTTCAACTTAATTGGCATCAGCTTAATTGAACGACGCACTTAGACGGATGATGGAGTAAGTTCTCGTTAAGTTATCATTTCTGAAAGCTGAAGACTTGAAATTTACAATTTAATTCTTATTAGAGAAGTTTGTCGTGTTTTAATGTTTATTACAACTTCTTTACTCGCCAATTATTAGCTCTGTTTGTTTTTTTATTTCACAACAAAATGCAGTTTTAATGTAATCCTTCCTATTTTTATTTTACCTACTTTTCGTAGTTTTACTTTCAAATTTATCACAGTGTCACAGTAAAACTACGTTACTAAAGATGTCATAAGAGTTTTCTAGAATTATAAAAAAGTTGTTTACTTGCTATTTTAAAAAGATTTACAAAATTTCGTGTAATACAAGTGAATTATAATGTAACGTTAATTTGAGCAGAGACGTCTATCAATTAAGAGCGTGAAGCGTGCCCGAGTGACAGGTAGACGTTGAGGCTTGTCGCTACAGTTTATGAGACAACGCGTCTAACAAATATAGTTAAACTAGCTGTCCCCATGGCTTTATCCGCATGAAATTATGAGAATTTTATTTCATTACTGACATTTATCACATCATCAATCCCAAATTTCAAAATGACATGACACGATGACAAACCGTGGCAACCTTGCATCCTTGATGTTGGCAGTAGCTTATGGTCTTTTTCCCACATTAGTGATTTTATCCCAAATATTTACCCAGTAAGTTAAATGGCGTGAAAATATATAGCCTAAAGCGTGACGTGTGTAAGGCATTTTATTAAAAAAAGAATTATTCAATAATATGCTGTAATTGCTGACATCTTAGGCAACAAAGAAGTGTGTGTTTACGCTTTATTATAATAGTATAGATTTCATAAAATAACACGGTCATTATTCTAATAAACACACCCCGATTTTAGTCTGAAACGCATAGATTTTGGACTGATATTTAAAAATTTACGAATTTAAGCGTAAATTGTGCAATGAATCCCATGAAATCAATGTTTACGGAACCCATATTACTAGCCAATAGAAGAACATTCTTTTAATTACGGCATTTTTTAATCTGTACCAATATTATAAAGAGGAAAGATTTGTATCTCTGTACGTATTGGAATAATTTAAAAACTACTAGGCCGATTTTAAAATTTTTTTCACTATTACAAAGCTACGGTTGTATGTATCAAAACATAGGCCATGATTTTAATTATTATTATTGCACGCGGACGAAGTCGTAAGTAATAACTAGTGTATCATAACTATTCACACTTAAAGACATTAAGAAATAAATCGATGGTATGTTATGTGGTCGTTACAGTTAAATAGTTCTTCGTATTTTTTTACACAATGACAACTCTTGTAAAAGAATTTAATCACACTTTTTTTGTAATCAAACATCAAAGGACGTGTTTCTTTGAGTCAGCAATCGTCAACTCGTAAAGACAGTAACTGTTAGGAATATGCTTCGCTCGCGGATTTAAAGACGCTATTTTGGTCACCGGCCTGACTGTTTTAACATTTTAATAGTCGCCTGGCGACATCTGTTTTATTTACACTTAGGGTCTGACCCACCATATTGTAAATTGTCTAATAACAATCCAATGTGTAAAATATGTGATGGAAATATCGAATTTTGTTCCCTTATCTGACAGTGACGTCATTTTTAATCTATCTGAGCCTCTATCAGCCAGTGGTGGGACAGGCCCTTATAATTGTAATACTCTATGGTTATTATACATTGAATATTAAAAAGCAAATAATGTTTAAACATTTTTAGTTACAAACCGTTTTATAACTTTTTTTTTAATATCTCTTATATTATAAATGCGAAAGTTTAGATGGATGGATGGAGGTATATTTGTTAGTTTGCAGCCTGAACTGCTTAACGGATCTCGATGAAATTCGGCATAGATTCTGAGGACAGTCTGGAATAAAACATAAGCACGGACTCGTGGGTGATAGCTAGTTTAATACGTTCAAGTCGCCTTTATTGTGAAAATATTTATCTTTATAGTTTAGATGTAAGCTGTTCAATTATTTAAGAATTGCATAGTGTAAATCCCTGACGAGAACACAATAAATCTGCGACATATCAATGGCAGTAGATTGGATGTTAATCTTCTTGTCCTTCTCCTTCTGTATGATTATGAAAAGAGATAAATGCTTACCATCGATGTCTTCGTTGTCTAATATCTGGTCGAGCTCATTGTCGTCGTAGCTGTGCACCATTGTGTTAAGGATGGTGCGAACCTTCTCCTTCTCAATGCGGCCCTGCTTGCTTGAGTCGAACATGCTGAATGCGCGTCGCAGCACTGCGGAAGAATAATAGGTTATATGTAGGTATCTAATGTGTGCTTCTATGTGTAAGAATTTGATAGGCTATTACCTACATGACTGCTATAGGACTTATATTATGTGTACGACGAACTGTCGCAAACTTCGTTAGCGCAAATTGGACCACCATTTACGCAATTTTGACAGCTCGGCATTTAATAAAAAGTAGCCTATAACATGGCCGTCTATGTCAGCTACCCTTCAGCGAAAGTCCGGTCGAAGTCGACCCAGCCATTTCGGAGATTACCCGGAACAACGCGGCTTGCGGACAGACAGACAGTCAAAAAAATTTTAAATGCTATTCTCGTTATCAGCAACGCACACATCATCTTCCCGAAATCTGGGATTTTTCTTTTGATATTCTACGTATAGTACGATAGGAAATATATCAATTTTATGTTACAAACATTTTTGATAAAGCAGCCTTTTCTAACATTGTAATAATAGAGAAATAAGTGGCCTAAAAATCCTTTCCATTGTAGTTTTCACTTAAGCAGGAGTGTTACTATACCCGCAACGTTTGCCAATCGATAGCCGAACCTTTCAAACTCCTTGATCCTCTAAAAGCTTGTTTAGTTAGCAGCAGCTTTCGTTTGAAAGCTTTTTTGTTAGTTTCGACTTTCATTTCTTTGTTAATAGAATAGTTCGACTTTTGTAAAGGTTGGATAAGTTTAGATTTTAATTAAGTGTCTATTGTTTACCAGCTTTCGCTCGCGACTTCGTTCGGGTGTAATTAAAAAAAACTATAAGTGATTAGCCTATATATTCTTCCGGACTACGCTCTACTACAAATTTCATCAAAATCTGTTCAGTCGTTTAGGCTACAAACACTAACAATCATCTAAACTTTCGCATTTATAACATTAGTACGATGTTCTTACTGAGCGACATGATGTTTATAACAAAATGCGACAGTTGCAATATTTTCGATACGTGTGTAAAATATTGTTCGTCTGACCAATTCTTTTACCTTAAGAAAACAACTTATTTGAAGAGATAATAAACATACAAACAACAAATTAAGATTGAGTAGAAAGCTACAAAAGTAGAGGAAGACGAAAGAAAGTATGGATGGATTCTGTGAGAAAGAGGATATGCTTAAAAAGCTAAATTCAGATATGACGGCGGATAGATGTATGGAACAGCAAATTACTGTGCCAACCATGCGTAAAGAAAAAGGCAAGGTTGATGAAAAAAAAAATAACTAATTTAACATGAAACATGATAGGCAGTAAAAGATTATTATAAAGGCCCTCGCACAAGTTCATATTTCCCTCGTAAAATTTATCGCGTACACATGACAGCTGCCACAGATAAATAAAATTAGTGGCTTTGTTTTTTTTATGTGTACTAAATTGTAGACTGCCTGATAGAAACGATAACAGATGTATAAATTAATCACGTATAACAAAAAATGTTTATTTTAAAACAGAATTCGGTTATCCTTTCACCTTAAAATAGGAGTCTTAATCCCAGGAATTTATGATGCCCGTTACACACGCTCTGTTTTATCTGAACAGCCAGATTGTTCAGATAAATCTAACAAAACTGAGAACTATATAAGTTTCAGTTTTGCGTACACGTTAGATTTATCTGAACGATCCGATTGTACAGATAAAACGGAAAGTGTTACGGCTTAAAGGTATACCATGTCATTCTGAACGTAAATAAAGCTTAATCGGTTATAGTGAGTTCTCTTTTGTTTTTTTATTAATGGCCAGCTTTAATATCGAGAATTATTAGATAATTTAGACAGCGCAATGATTTCCATGTGTAAATATTCGTGTTTTTTTTTAAATTATAACGTGGCAAATGTACAAGCGGCCACCTGAATCTGCCGAAATGGAGAAGTGACCGCTGCTCATAGACATCCGTAATTGCAGATGCGTTGCCTACCCGTAATCGACGGTAGTTGAGACACATAAATAGGATATTTCCCCTCCCTATTCTACTCCGCCGTCAAATCCTATCTCTCTAAGAAAAGCGTGGAAAGGAAAAGGGACTAAAATCAGGCGTGTTACATTCCATGTATTAATAATATTGGATTTTAACCCAATCCAATTTATTAACGCGTTATACACTGATTTAAATCCCAGTAATGTTGAAGCATTACGTTAATGTAATTAAAGTGTATGTAACCAACCGTTCACGCGTTCAGAGAACAAAGAATTATGTCATGTAAACATTCACGAGCTCTACCTTCAAACATTTAATTTGAATTAACTATTTTTTTTTAATTCTCAATAATTAACTTATCAGTCTACTAATTTTGAATAATATCATTTTAACTAGTTATACATCTATATTAATATAATAAAGCGTAAACATACACTACTTTGTGGCGTAGGGTGTCAGCAAGCACAGCATATTTTTAAATAATTCTTTCTTTAATAAAAAGACCTACACTTACGACACGCTTTAGGCTTTATATTTTCACGCTATTAAACTTAGGGGGTAAATAAATTGATAAAAACAATCATGTGGGAAAGGCACTAAAGCTGCTAACATTAAGAAAGCAAGGTTATTATGGTAACATAAAAAAGTTTTTTATAATTTGATGCGGATGAAGCCGCACGTGAACAGCTAGTATTTTAATATTATTAAACTGCATACAAAAATATAAAAGTAATAGGGCTTTTTCTTATTCCAATTTTAAATTAATGTGGCTTTAAAGTATATTCTCAGTTCATTCTCTTCCCATAAATACATCTATTGAAAATCTTTGTATTTTTACGTACAATAAATAAATGAAGTAGTTCTGCGATCTTAAAGTTCAAAAATCTTAATGTTCCACAATTGAATGTATGAAAAACTAGAACACACTAGTTAAAAATATTTAATTTTGTACGTTTATTCATTTACATTGTTGATTTAAACGTTTACTGCAGTAAGTAAAATCATAATTCTTCATCTCTTGCGGCGGCGGGCCAAAATTCGCCCCCAATGATCCGCCAGTGCGTGACAGGTCGTTCCTGACCCACTAGCACTAGGATCGATTAAATTGCTATAATGATTTTGGAAACAAAATGTACATATTTTATGTAATGTAAAATATACACCTGAAATAATTGTTTCACATAAGCGAGAGGAACATAGTTTTCTTCGTCCGCAACTAAAGTACCGCGGCAGGCCGATATCGGCCTGTTACGAAGTGAACGTATTAAACTATGAAGAAAAATAAAAACACTATTAAAAATATCTCACATTTTACAAGTTCTCGTCTGGCAATGTTTTGTTTAAGTTATTTGGCACAAATATTCTAAAACTCTAAAAACGTCTGGCATTTAATTGTTACTGACAGGTAATGAAATAAATTTCTTCTACACTCATAAACATTTCTACCGACGAATCGTGTCTTAATAATAGGTAAATTATATGAATTTGAGCGTGAAATACAATTGACAAAGACGTGATAAATACAAAATAGAACTGGCCATTTAATGTACATAAAAACTTATTTAGTAACGTCATTTACTGAAAAAGAAACAACCCGTGGTAAGTGTTAAGAAACACCCGTTAGTGTTAAGAAACAAAAAATATTATATTAGTAAAAATCATTACAGTTTAAACTTATGTAAAACTAGCTTTCGCCCGTGACTCCGTCCGTGTTGATTTAAAAAAAGTAAGTAGCCTATGTGTTCTTCCAGACTGTTCTCTACATCTATATACCGAATTTGATCGATATCCGTTCAGTCGTTTAGGCTACAGACTCTAACAAACATCCATCCATCTAAACTTTCGCATTTATAATATTAGTATGATTAAAAAAATTACTATTAAGTATAATATACAAAGACAAATGTGTATTGTGTGACTACATTTATGTCTGATTCAACAATTATCATATACAAAAGCTATTTAGAAAAGAATAAAATTTATAACATCCTTGATTTAATCTAGTATTTTTATTTTTGTCAAGTGTAAATATTTAAATTATATGTAACATATCTTACATGAATTAAATAAATAATTTAAATTAAATAAAATTATTATTCTAATTTAAAACAAAACATAAACTTAATTATTCATTAGTAAGTTTATACATTTATCTATCGTTAAATTTGACTATTTACTGTTTCAAAAATAGTGTTAAAATAAAAGTTACATTTTAAAATAAACGACACATTAACTTCACAAACGTGCTATAAAACTCAGTACTTCTCTACTGGAAATAACCTAACATTGACTGTGAATAGATGCTAGAAACTTCGAAATAGTAATCAAATAGTCGTATTTAAATACTCGTAAAATATAATTATTCCTATTGGAATTCCTCAGAAATTTTTTTGACCGGAAACGGAAACAATTAAAGAAACATTTTTGCAAACATTTGTATGTTATACGATGACTTATCCATTAACGAAATTAAAAAAAAAAAACTTAGTAGGCTGCGTATACTTTACGTATATTTTTTTCAACTTAATAGTATGCTTTTAAATAAAATTAAAACTCACTTGTAATCTGCTCATCGTCGATTTGAGTAGTCTGTAAACAAATAAATTCACATTATTATTAGTTAAATTCAATAAAATTAAATAATCAAGAAGTCAAACGCACCATTTTTCAATCTAAAATGTAACTAACTACTTTGAAACAATAAGCGCGCTTGTCGATGTTAGCGCGGGGCGAGCTCGTATAGCGACTGACGATTTTGAATCATGTTCGAAATTCAAACTGAGTCTGGAATGTTCAGGCTATGTTTATACGGAGTCTATAAAAACCTATATTGAAGCCGGAATATTAAAACTTAAGGACATAATAAGGTTTTTTTTATCTGTGAAGATTTCCTGCAAATTAAAGAAAAATAAAAGGTCTATCATTACCAAATCTCGTAGTGTCCCAAGCAAATATAGCTGTTTGCTATCAACTCCACAGCGCTGTTCTTTCATTGGACTCTTTTTAATATCCCTGATAATAAACGTGCAATCCGCTACAACAGTGCTAGTCATTATAGACTGTGCGCTGTTTTTTATTTGGTGAATTAAAAAAGCAGCGTAGAGTCAGCAGAAATGTGGCTTAGTTACAACGAAGTACTGACTGAGAGAAATGTTATTTTCTTTCAGTTAGTACTTTTAAGTAGTTTTAAACATTTGCCTAACAAGGTCAACTTCTAGTCATTTTAATATTTGTTTTAATTCATTTTTAAAGAAGATAAAATAAAACAAAAAGCATAAAAAGGTTTCGTTTGTATACTAAATAATAATTATGAAAAACTGACCAGCCAGGGGAAAGGAA